CTCCCCCTATGAAAACTCTTTGGTCCTCCAGAATGCTCCTAAGTATATCATCTAACTGATCCCAGAAGCAACGTTTCTCCCCCTCCCTTAGGCCAACGTGTGGGGCGTACACTGAAAGGACATTCACTACTTCCTCTTCTATAATAACCTTAATCATCATGATCCTATCCCGCTATCTGCAAACTTCAACTACATTTTCCTTGAGCCTAGAGGATGCCAAGATACCCACCCCATTTCTAGCGTTATCTATGCCTGAATACCACAACTTGTACCCATTACACTCTCTGGCGCGAGACCCTTTCCACCTAGTCTCCTGAATACATGCAAAATCTATTTTTCTATTATTAAGTACGTCGGTCAGCTCCAGCAGCCTAGCATTTAATGTGCCTACATTCAACGAGCAAACTCTTAGTCTAGTCTCCTTGTCACCACTCTGTCGAGCCCTCCTCCTATATGCCCCATGGGATCTAAAAGGACATGACCTCAAGTAATCATCTATAACCGAAGCTATGAGGAACTATGAAAAAAGAATCCAAATAAGACAGAAGATGCACTAATAAAACGCTGGAGAATTGAGGAGTACTAAAAATCTTAGTTGGTTACTTAATAGGATTTTAAGATAAATTAATACTATCTTATTTAACTATAGGCCAATATCTAGAAAATATAATTTAAAATGTTCAATAAATATCCGAGATAAGCAAAAAAGGATTAAAATTGTAACGCGAAATATAAGAGTAATGAAATCAATTCAAAAGTTGAGCAAATGTAAAAATAGAAGTAACCCAAATCTTGAAACAAAAAAAAGCCCAGTAAAACATATAAAACACATGCAAGAAAATAAAATCAAACACTGAGATTAGAAAGAAAACTCGTTGAGCAATTCAATTATAAATCAAAATTAACTTTAAAAAAAACCAGCAACGGAAATGATTATGAAATAAATCCCAAATTTAGAAACTGAATAAGTTGAATTGATTTTACCAGAGCTCAGCTTTACCACCTCTTTGTGAAAAAGCCGATACAGAGATATTTTAAAATTACAGTTGGAAAAGCCAGATCTAGTCCAAACAATGTCACAGAAAGTAATGAACGAAAGAAATTAGTCAAATCCAACTAGATCTGTAACAAACAAAGAAAGTTGAATTTACCAGAAACAAAACTGAAAGAGATCCGCAAGAGAAATCCTTCAACTATTGTTAATAATTGATAGCTAACAACGCTAATCAAATAGAAACGAAGAAAGAAAATAGAGAAAATCTGATCTATGCCTCAGGAATCACCAAAGAAGAAAGGAAAGTTGTCAATAGGTAGGAGAAAGAAAAAACTAAGAGGGAAATGACCTGGTGTTGAAGCCGGAAGAGCAAGCAAAGAAAGTGTTCACCATAAAATAAGAGTTTAATTTTTTTAATTGACAAAAATAATACTTTAAATTAATATATTTATTATTATTTACTTCATATCTATGTTCGATTTCATGTTTACTATAATTCAGATTATATTTAATTTTTTTATTAGATAAAAGGTTGAAACTTTCTCATTTAAAATAAAAGATAAATGAAGAACACATCATTAGTATAAATATAAACAGTAAACTACACGTTTAATGCTTCAATTATCATTTTTGTTCTATTTTGATAATTTAATTATTTTTAATTTCAGAATTATATCTAACGTTTTATTTTGATAACCCGTCGTTAAAAATTAAATAGAATTTTTGATGTGGCATTTAAAAAAAATCAACGACTACATGACATTACGTTATGATGACATGTTAGTATCACAGTTAATTTTTTAACTGCGAGCGACTAAAATAAAATTAAAACGAAATGTTAGGTATGATTTTAAAATAAAAAAAATTGAATAACCAAAATAAAACAAAAATAATTTAGGTACTAAAATAGAAATGTTTTTAGAAAGTAATTTATATGTTTTATGAAGCCAAAGAAAATGACGTTGCTTTTCCAATAGAAAGTTTGTATAATGGAAGACGAAGCTCTTGTCCTACTTGCATGCTTTTTTTTATTTGAAATAGACAACATTCTGATTCCAAATCCTCCTCATCTAAAAATGTTACCAACTTTCTTCGATATGACATAAAAAAATGGTGCTTGCTGGTCGCTAAATTCAAGCGTTTGATTCGTCAACTCAGATGAAAAAAATATTTATTTTGTTAAGAATCACTTCCTTATAAAGTCTTCAATTTTTTTAAATTAATCAACAATACGATTGAGTTCAAATAAAAACAGTAAATATATTAAATTATAAAAAATATCATAATAACAAAGATTAAAAGGAAACATTTCACGAATCAAACGATCTTAGAAAAAGATGATTGTTATTTTTAGATATTTCAAATCGATTGTAAGAGTATTTAAATATTCATAATCAAATGATTGAGGGTGTTTTTAACAAATATTATCTTATAATTACCATATCAATAAAAAAACTTAGCGTAATACAAATAGAATGTCATTTTACCTTAAATATTTTAATTAAATGATTATTTTTTAAAAAAATTAAAAATTATTATCATCTTAAACCTTAAATTAATTAATAATTAAAAAAACTAAAAGAGAGGTTAATGAGGTTTGATTAGGCTATCAACACAGATTTTTTTTAATTCTTTGAACAAGATTCAACTTCTTTTCAGATCATGATTGATCGAATGGATAAAAATATTTATATTGTTTCACCAGATATGAATCCTGACATCTATCTTAAAAATATAATAACTTTTAGTTTAATCAAAAAAAAATTCTCTAAATAAAGAAAATGATAACTTTTAAAAATTTCATTTTATACCCTTATAGAATCTCTGTATTCCAAATAAACCCCAATATTCTTTTTGCTACCCTACCCCCGAATTTCTCCATGGAATAGCCATTACCATGCCACTAGCAAAAACATCACATCAAAACAAACCATAGAAAGTTTAAAATCCCTTTCGACGCGCCTCGATAGCTGGTTTAACTCACGCGTCAACTCCTTCTCCCGCGAAGCACAGTTATTCGCCTTTCTCATTCTCCATCTTTGTCCACATCCTCACCCACGCTCTTAAAAAGCGCTTAAATATCACTCGCCTATTTGATAAGTATATCAACTTTCTCATTAAAGACAAAAAGAGAAAAAAAAGGAATTCCTTCAGAAAAATGGCTGAGCTATCAAGGCAAGCAAGGGGGGTGCGAGTAGGTTAAGAGGAAATGGTGCGTAGGGTAAGACGCCACCTGATGCGCACATTAGCTATAATGGAAAGATAGCATTTCTTTTATAAAATAGGTAATAGTTAATAAATAAATAAATTTGTTTAATGGCAAATGCTGTCGAGTCAGTGTAGAGTGTAGATCACGATAACACGAAGACAAAAATACAAAGGTGATAATTAAAAAAATAAAAATTATACGAAAAAATACAAAGTATTTGTTGCAAAAAAAAAAAAAAAAAAGGAAAAATATTGCGGAACAGTGAATGGGGTGTATTAAGGTGTGGTGTTCTCACTGGGACTGATGATATGAATAATGTGGGCGATTTCGGATAGAAGAAGAAGAAGAAGAAGTCATTGTTTGTTAAATTTTCAACATTTTTTTTTGCTGTTTTTGGTCCTATAATTTTAGCGGGAAACTTGTTCTAACGACCCTTTAAACGAAGAAGGTTGGTTTTTTTTTCTTTCTGTTTCTTCTCTCTTTTTTGAAAATTTTTTGTGGGTGTTTGGTTTCCCGGAAAGCTGGGGAGAAAACCATCAGGAAGACATGATATTTAAAAGCTGGTTAAATTGTTTAAACAAAGTTTTTTTTCCCTCTCAAGTAATGAATTTTTCGGTTTAATTTGAGTTTTGCTATCCTATTTTAGTTTTTCTATAAGATGGAAATTAAGAAAAGTATTGTTTTTTAACTTAATTTTAATTTTTGGGATAAGAAAATAGAATTCTTCAGTGAAACAAGTTGCTGGGGAGCCTTTTTGGGCTAATTTGATTATTTCTGGGTTTAAGCTTTCTGGGTTTAAGCATGTAATTGTTGGTCATGCATCTTTTGATCTCTTTTATCTATATAGGATGAAATATTGGCTATTAGAGTTAATGATTTCCTCTTTCATATTTGACTTTCTGGAGTGATTGAATGTCTCAAATATATGTTCCGAAAATCCTCTTTACCATATTCGTTTTCATATGCATATGCATAACTTATTTATTTATTTAGGGTTTTCTTTGAATTTTACTTCTCTGTTTTATTCAAGCTGTGGCGATTTCATTAGATTTGGAATTGTTTTCAGTGCCATCCTATCTAATTCTGAAGCAGAATAAACTGTTTTTTTTCTCCTGCAAGTTTTGTTTTGTGCATAATAGGAAAGTTCCTGTGGAAGAAAATCTTTGCTAGTTTTGATGGCAATGGAGAATTTTAGGACTAAGAATAGGTCCACCATGAACACTAGAGACAAGTTAACAGTAAGCTCCAATAATGGCAATAGTTTACATCTTAAGACATGAGGTGGATAGAGGAGAATCATAATTGGTTTTCGATATTTTCTTACACTTGGACTCAAATAATCTGTGTAGAGGAGAAAGAACTAAATTCAAGTTGATTCTGCGTAATTGATTGCTTTTTAGTGGGATCGTAAATGGGTTGGGGAAGCATAAAAAGATGTGATGGTTCATGCTTGATGCTTTACTAACTATTTACTATAATCTACGACCACCGTGCAGTGCATTCACCACTGTTGCCGGTGCTACTATGCAGCATAGACTTATCTTTGTTAACTGCTAAGCTTCTATACTGTCAGGAATAGAGGGAACTTTAACTTCATGATGGCAAAACTAACGGAAAGGGGTAAGACAGAAAGAAGAAAATATTACATGAGCTTGCAGAAGTACCAGGGTCGTGATTGTTCAAGCTGTTATACTTGTATAGCAGCTAGTGAATGATTCTTTTGAGTTGAAGATGAAACTGAAAATCAAAGTTTAGATTAGGGCGATTCTTTTCTTTCTATTTGTCGGTAGTGTTTACTTCTTTCCCTTTTGTTCTCACAGTTAAGAAATGCATTTCTTTTGTTTACTCTTGTACTAATGCCATGCTTGTTTGAGTGATAGGAGTAAGGAATTTACTGTTTTTTCTTTCTTTCTTTATAAGATGTTTGTTGAATTCTTTAACTAAACTTTGGTGGCGTCGTTGAAGTGGTAACCGAGGCTGGTTATACTCTCTTTGATGTTTTCATTCTAGCCATATCATGTTTAGCTTTTATAATTATGTTCTTTGTTGCTTGTTCATGTTGTTCTTCTCCTCAAGCTTATACATTTCGATGTACTGTTTCCTTCCAGACTTTAAGCTCTCAAATGCCTACAATATCAATTTAACTTGTACAAAAGCCGCCTCTATTATCAGTTCAAGAAGTATGGACTTCCCGTCCACCCAGTTTGTGCCTTCAAGAACTATGGGTACCTATGAACCTATCCACCAGATTGGCATGTGGGGAGAAAATTTCAAGAGTATTGACAGTCCAAATATATCTCCATCAATGATTGTCGATGTGGCTAATAAGCTAGAAAACGAGGTGCAAATTAGGAAAATATTGTTCTTTGCTCAATACCAAATCACTTATATACTATTTTGGAGACATGTAACATTTTGATTCGTATTTTTCAGTCTGAGACTACTTCACATGAATTGCTGGCACCTTCTGGCAAGTATGACCAAGACGCAAGTAAACCTTTGGATAAGGTACCTGTCAATTGTATGCGGTGATGATTATTTATTTCTTTTCTAATATTAATGGACATAAATATGGTCTGGATCATACTGTATGATATTGGATAGACTTTATCTACTGGTTTGTTGAAAAGCTTTCCTTCAAATTTGAAAAAGAAGGTATTGCTTTCAGTTCTAAATTTCTAGGTTGCCGAAAAGCTCTACTTCAAATTTGAAAAAGAAGGTATTGCTTTCAGTTCTAAATTTCTAGGTTGCATTCCTTTTGAAAAAGAAGCTCTCCTTGGCACATTCTTTTTCTTGCAAACAAAGAAGGTATTCCTTTTGAAGATATATACTGTTCTGAAATGTGTGAAAGTTTTTAATATTCTTCTTAAGATGTCTTGGAAATGCGATTGTGGTGTTCCCCCCCTCCCCCCGATATTTCATGCATGTTAATGGCACTATTTTCAGATTTTTTTTGTATTTTTCTACTGTTTGCATTCTCTTTTGTTAGTTTCTAGTCATGTCATTGATGACCCAGGAATGCGGATTATCTCGACAAATCTAATTTAAATGAAATTCTCAAAGCAGTTTGAGCATTTTACCTTAAATAGAGCTAATCTGCTTTGTGCATTTTACCTTTAATATCTATAGATACAAAGACGTCTTGCACAAAACCGTGAGGCTGCTCGTAAAAGTCGTTTGCGGAAAAAGGTAAGTTGGATATGGATTTGCACTGTAACAGGTGACCAGAAGGCAACATTCAATCTTTTGTAATGACTTGATTTAGCATTGTCTTTCAGACATATGTTCAACAATTAGAAAATAGTCGCTTAAAGTTGATTCAATTGGAGCAAGAGCTTGAACGAGCAAGGCAACAGGTTTGAAGAAGATTACTTTCATATCTATTTTCATTTTGTATTTGTTTTTGTCATTTTCGAACTCTTTAAAGCTACTTGAGAAATAAAACTTTTACAGCAGGGTCTTTATGCTGGTGGCGCATTAGAAGTTGGTCATCTTGGAATTTCTGGTGCAGTAAACACAGGTTTGTTTGTTTAAATACTTTCATTTATCACTACTTTTGATCTTACGTTCTAAAATGTTTCTTTTTCTTGTTGAAGTTTTATACGATATTTCAGTTGTTTTGTTATTTGACATTTCAGAATGCATTAATGCTTGTAACCTGATCTTGCAAGCCTTGCCTTATTAGTTATTTCTACTTCTATGAGACGTATATATTTTGATATACAATTTTCAGCCGATTACATTCAGTGAGCCAAATGACCGATAACTCCATGCTGATTAAATTAGTCATGAAATTTTTAATATACAAACATGCTGGCTAGTGAATAGTTACGGCTTTTGGATCTCTAGGTCTACATTGTTATATTACCCATCATAGAAATAAAGGAGCATTACATTTTCTCCGAAGTGAATGAATGATTGATGCTCATAGATTCCATCTGCTCCTCAATTTTTCTAAGCTACTTGGAGTAGGATGCAAGCATCGAATACAGCATGTTCAATTTTCTTAGAAGATTTTCAATGTATTTGGAGGTCCCTAGGAGAGTTCTTCAAAGTTTCCGAAATTGTATGCATGATTGATTCTCATAGATTCTATAGGCACCTCCTGACCTCCATTCTTCTACGTTACTCGAATTTGGATGTGAATGTTGGACTCTGGTATGTTTAATTGTTTTAAAAGATTTTGCATGTACTTGGAGGGTTCTAGGAGAGCTATATCCACATACCAATGTCCAGATATGAGTTGGACCGGGTACTCCATAGAAAAATAATCGGCTAGTTTTATATGAGAACCAGTTTATGCACCCCAAAGTATTAAACCCTCTACAATGTTAGTGAAACCTGTGGAATAACACTTAAAACGAAACGACATGACCGAGCATTTCTTGTCATATAAGAAACATGAATTTAACTTTTTCTCAATTTGCAGCTGACTTGATTTCCTCACAAGTTAAAAGAAAACAGATTAAACGTTTTTCATTTGATATTACAAGTTTTCCTGGAGAAATTACATGTTTATTAAAGACCTTAAACTTCTTTTAGGAGTTATTTTTTCGTCTCCTTTCATGTATTCTTTAAGATCATACATCTTATTGTATGAATAAACTATCATAAGCTTCACTCTTTTGATTGGAACCAAGCTACATTCTTTATTTATGTGCTATAAAGGCATTTTAATGTCTTCGATATTGTCAGCTGGTCTGTAATTGTTTGGCCACCTTTAAAATATTTTGGTATTATATGAAGTTCCATTGCATCTGATGTGTTAAATGCTATCTTTCTGTAATAATTCCCTTTGGCACCATTGCTTCTTGTTCCAAGTTGATTAAGTTCTTTAATGTTATTCAATGATTAGCCCATCTGAGGATTCTGCAGGGATTGCTGCATTTGAGATGGGATACGAACGTTGGATGGAAGAACAAAATAAACTAATATGTGAACTCAGGAGTGCTTTGAACGCCCAGACAAGTGATATAGAGCTTCGCATACTTGTGGAAAGTGGCATGAGCCACTATTTGGAACTGTTCCGCATGAAATCAGGCGTTGCTAAGGCTGATGTTTTCTATGTGATGTCTGGTACGTGGAAAACGTCAGCAGAGCGATTTTTCTCATGGATTGGAGGGTTTCGGCCTTCTGAACTTCTTAAGGTGACGCATTATTTAGTTTAATTAACTTCTCAAGGTGATTCCTGTTATAGGTCTTTTGAGGGGAAGAGAACCTATAGCACATTATCTAACCGCAAATTCTTTCCGCTTGGTCTTTTCACCCACATGGTTACAGCACAATCAATGCTACTTTAACCTATGTTACTCAAACTCGGATGTGAGTATTGGGTACAAGAATTTGTCCGATGAGTATGTTTGATTCTTTTAAAAAATTTAATGTATTTGAAGGATCATATCTTATATCCATGTTGCTTGAAGGGCATAGTTTCTTGTGTTTTCCATCGAAATTCTGGTCCAAGCTCTATTGCCAAGTGTGGAACCAATTTTTTTTTTTTGTGTGATTATTTTTTGATTACAGGTGCTAGTGCCTCAAATAGACCCCTTGACAGACCACCAAATTTTGGAAGTTTGTAACTTGAAACAATCATGTCAGCAAGCTGAAGATGCCCTTTCGCAAGGCATGGAGAAACTCCAGGAAACTGTGTCTGCAACTTTAGCATCTGGTCAAATGGGTCAAGGTACTTACCTTCCTCAAGTGGCTATAGCAATGGAGAAGTTAGAAGCTCTCGTCAACTTTGTGAACCAGGTAATGATACAATCATCCTGCGGTCTCAATGGTTTAATTCAAGAATTTAACACTATTTTAGTTTTTTTCTTCTACCATTTGCTCTTATCATCATTGTTATTATACCTGTAACTAACACTACGTGGGTATGACAATTCTAAGATATGTGTACGGAAGTATGAATGTACAATCCTCTGAATATGAAAACAGAAAAATTTAACGGTTTTAAATCATCCAATATAAGCACAACATTGTCCTATTCCATGTCACCTTGACTTGGGGTATGTTTTGTTAATAGATGTCATATATAAATACTTTAAAAAAAAACTAGAGTTCGAATAATATATATCTTGTTTACTAGAATCCTGTTTAGGGGAATTTTTTGAATTCAGTCTACTTATTGATGTTTTAGATACGAGAAACAGGAAATCTGGGTGATGTTTCAAAGTTCCAACTAACGTCTGATATTTTTCTATATGCAGGCCGACCACCTACGGAAAGAAACACTACAGCAGATGTCTTACATCCTAACTACTCGACAGGCAGCTAGAGGCTTGCTTGCTTTGGGAGAATACATCCAACGTCTTCAAGCTTTGAGTACAGTTTGGGCTAACCGTCCTCGTGAACCGGCCTAGCCTTACGGTAGAAAACGTTTAGATGAGCACTGCAAGAACCGGCCTTCTGGCAGAGATGGCGTTTGGTAAATGCCATCATAAAGATAAGCAACATCAATTTATGCAGCCCACAATTTTTTGAAGCAGCTTATCCTGGGGTCTGAGATGTTGAACATATAAATAGTAAATTTTATATGGGGTAAGATTGAGATGGGGTAAGATTGAGATCAAAACGATTTTCAGTATGCTATTTTGTACATTATATATAATCTTGAAAGTGTATATATACATATATATATATATATATATATATAGGTTCTACATTTGAGTCATATATTGCAGTTGAAATTTCTATGTAAATTTTGTGGAAGTGTTCTATCTATACTATGAACATGGCCAATGAATAATTGTCAACATGTTACATTCATAGTTAATAAAACTTCACCTAGTATTAATTCGTTGGCTCTTAAAATGCTTCCGATCTGAAAAACACAATATTTTGTTTTCATTCTAGTGCATGACCAAGAGTTTTCTCAGTCTCCAGGCTCTTACCCTGAATCCGAGTAATATTAATCAAAGCTTACATCCAATTCTATCGGAGGATGGAAGGTATTTTGTGTTACTCATTCGGAGACTCGATCCGGACTTGGATCCATAACACTCGTCCATCTTCTGCTTCTTTCACTGGTACATTGATGTGCTTGAGCTCACCAGTTGCAGCTACTTCACCTTTAGAATCTTCAATGTGATATATAGCTAATTAGCATTTAGCATAGTAAAGAAGATAAGTTGGAGCCTTTGTATGAGCAAACTCCCTGATCCTATAACGAGAAGCAACTCAGAGAAGATAATCTAAAACTAGAGCTAGAAATGCAAGAGGTTTTTAATCTGCACTCCAAGACAATGCCAACCTGAATATCAAACATGGACAATTTTGAAGATTTGATCAAAGACTGAGATTACTACAAAAAGAAAAACAAAAATGAAAGCAACCATTGTACACATTCCGACTTAAGTTGATCAAAATTGCTTTCAAGTACTCGGTCACGATAACGCAATCGCATGTGCACAGATTTCATACAGAATAAGAATCAGATGATTGTGGAACCCATATTACGATGTCACGGCGAAGACGGAATAGCATTGTTTATAAGATGCAAGCGGGGTGCCGAAAACCAATGGTCTTATTTGAGGTTCTCCATCAAAAGTTAATATCATAGATACATAGATGTTTGTAAAACTATTATGGCATCACTGTACTAAACAATCATCCATTGGAAGAAATAACTGCGTAGGCTAACTCAAAATGCAAAGTGTGTACTCTATATAAGGGTTCAAAATATTCTCATAGCTCCTATACAATCTTAAAGTGTAACCTATGCACGCTTAACATATTTCTTTCCTTGGAAAGAAAAAAGGAATTAAGGAACAACTGATTATATTACATTCAAGACGATAATATTTTTTTGGCTAGAAGGTGACTGTTTATCACCACAATGAAATGCAGAAATCAAATGCTCCCACATGTTTAACAAAGTAAGGTTAGATAAGGACAGTGATCTTTTTGTGCAAGGTGACCGTTTATCATGAGAATACCAGGTAGATTTTTAATGCATCATTTATCGATATTTTATTTTTTAACATAACAGATGTTGAAAACTTCATTATTTAAAAGAATAAAAGAGGTTGAGATCCCCAAAAAAGATTGAACCTTTTAAGGAGAGAAGAAGGTTTACCATTTGTTGTGTGCAGCGGAGATACTGTGCCAGACCTCAAAAAAGTGCTAGTAATGGGATTGTTCTGCTTTCTTTAAATAGAGAAAACAAGTGCAACGGAAACAAATGCAGCAGTGCTCTTGAAAAAGTATAGACCCGCTTAGGATCGGGATTTTGAACCCGACGTGAATCGAACACGCAACCTTCTGATCTGGAGTCAGACGCGCTACCATTGCGCCACGGATCCGCAGGTGCCAAGTAAGGACAAAATATATATATAATTGTTTTTAAAGTTTTGTTTGTGTGTTTTATACTTTTATATGCATCATAAACGGATATTAGAAGAATGCCATCAAACAGCTAGTTAAGTTACAAGAAATCTGCAAATAATATCACTTATATTTTGAAACTTATTTAAAATAATTTATACAAGATGTGTTGGTTTTGCAATATATATACATATTTCTATTATAATTTATAAAATTAAGATACACGTCTACACTACTGTAGATTGTAGAAGTTTTGTTCTTTGCTATCCACACCTCCCAGTTTGTATTTTTATTTTTATTATTTGGGTGGGGATGATGGAGGAAGGAAGGAAGAAAGGGATAGAAAAGGGAAAAATAGTGTAAAATTATATTTTCATTTGCATATATATATATATATATATATATATATATATATATATATAAAGTATTATGTATTTTTCAAAAGTAAATATTCATGTAGAAACTTTGTATTATTATTTTATTTTAAATAATACATTTCAAAGTATTAGTTTACATTAATTTATACATCGCTTTAAGATTTGTATTTGATTAATTGAGATAAAATGTTTTAATATAAAAATTATTTAAATAATCATTATAATAATTATAATTTTGAATGACGTGTTAAAATTATTTGATCCGTTGATATTCATTAATCGACGAGTGATCAAGTATGTTTATGTTATTAAGTATGTCCTCATTATCTGACTTTATATGAGTTTAAATATCGACATATATCTTAAAAATATAATATATCTACTTAATAAAATAAATAAATTGGTCCGCATGCCACTCCCAACGGTACCCAAAATTTGAAGACTTCGCTGGATTTATATGCACAAGGCTCCGGGCAAACTATTAATTTTGAGAAATCCAATGCTTTCTTTAGTTCAAATGTGGGGAACTATAACAAGGCTGAAGTTTGTCGTATTCTTGAAATTGTCGAAACAGATATTTTAGATTCCTATTTGGGTCTACCCTCCATGATTGGTCGCGGGCAACCAAAAAAGAGCATTTTTAAAATTGAAGAAAAAATTTCAGCATCGAATTCAGAGCTGGAGCACTCGCCTCCTCTCTTGGTGGCAAAGAAATTCTTATTAAAGCTGTCCTTCAAGCTATTCCTCTCTATGCTATGTCTTGCTTCTTCTTCCGCATACTTTATGCAAGGAATTAGAAGCTATTATCGCAAAGTTTTGGTGGCAAAAATCGGCTTCTAAGAGAGGTATTCACTGGTGTTCTTGGAGTAACCTTTATTCTCAAAAGAATTATGGTGGAATGGGCTTCCGGGAACTCGACAAATTTAATATCGCTCTTTTAGCCAAGCAAGCTTGGCGTATTTCCTCCAACCAGGTTCTTCATGGCTAGACTCCTAAGAGCTAAATATTTCCCTCACTCATCTTTTATGGAAGCCCCATCACGACCTTCTCTGATTTGGCGCAGCATATGGAGTTCTCGGAAACTTCTAGAGATGGGGTCTAGGATAGAGAATTGGTTCTGGTATGTCAGTCTCGGTCTGGAATGGTTATTGGTTACCAGGTTTTCCTGCCCGAAAGATAACGTCTAATTGGTCCCCAAGGGCGAACAAGGTTTCTGATTTAATTTTGATAGATGAAATGCGTTGGAATTCTAATCTTATCCGCTCCATTTTTAATGAGAATGATGTGCAGGATATTCTGAACATCAACCTACCCTCTATACTCCAAGACGATATCATCACTTGGAGAGGCGAGGGAACAGGCCGTCTATACTCGGTTCGCAGTGGTTACGAACTTCTTATTCAACCAGATAGTCAAGAGCTTCACTCAAGCAATGTTTACAAGTTCATTTGGAATACAACGTACCAATCAAAGATGAAGATTCAACTCTGGAGATTCGTTAACAACTATGTTCCTATGAAGCATAATTTATTTATTAAACGTATTGCTAATGACGCCTCCTGACCACGATGTGGTATGAGTCCAGAAGATATCTTGCATGTTAGCAAGGACTGTTTTCTCGCAGCATCAGTTTAGAACAAGCTGAATATTTCATGGTTACAAGAAGCAAGCTTATTTAAAATTTTCATGAATGGCTTGAATGGCTTTTCCAGAATTACAACAAAGGTATTTGTAGCATGTTTGTTATCACTATTTGGGTCTTATGGTTTTGTAGAGACAAATTTGTGCATGAACATAAAAGGCAGAATGTTGATCAAATAATTACCTTCATCCGAAGTCACTATGCTGAGTCAATTACTCTTTCATCTCCACTGAAACACCTACAGCCACAAAACATGACTCGATCGATGGCAGCCTCCACCTGCTTCGCATGTGAAGATAAACGTGGACGCAAGCGTTTCCTGCAATGAGAAGAAGTCTTGCTCGGGTTTCATTGCTAGAGATGCTAATGGTCAAATTATCGGTGCTGGACATAGGATCAGCAAAAACATCACCTGTGTGTTTACTGCCGAGGCGCTTGCTGTTGTTTAGGGAATTCAATTTGCATTAGAGATTGGCCTCCGATCGGTGGTGGTGGAAAGTGACTCCAAATCAGTGATCTCCAGGCTCCAAAGTGATACCACAGATTTCTCTACTATTGGCCATCTCACCAATGATGCAAAGACCTTTGCAACTCACTTTAGAAGCTGCTCATTCACTTTCATTGGGAGATATGGTAACACATCTATGCATGCAATGGCAATGGATGGAATAAAAACCTCCAATTACAGATTTTGGCTAGAGGAAGCTCCACCAACGGCCACTCGAGCGGCTGCCATGGATCGAAGATTTATTGACCCACCTTAATTTCTGCTGCATGTGGGTTTTTTCTTAGGGGATCGCATCCTGACTTCAGCTTTTGCTCCCTCCCCTTCTCAGTCCTCAGCCTCGGATCTTTATTTAGTTTGGTCTCTCTTCAGGCAAAGGATTCTGACGTTTGAAGCCTCCCATTTGTTTTGTCTGTTTTTTCTTTATTGTTTTGCCATCCATGGTTTTTGTTTTTGCTTGTTTCATTTCTGCTAAGTATTTTTTTTGTCTCGTAATTTATCTTTTTCAATTTGTTCGTTTATTCAAAAAAAAAAAAAAAACTTTGACGATACATAACATGGAAAACAAAATTATAAATATAAAAATAAAAGGAGTTTAATGTTAAACGTAGATCACTAGATCAATAAATTATATAATATAGAGTAAATTATATCACTAATTATAAGAAGATTTTAATTTAATAAAAAATTAATTTTATTAATTAAATTATATATTATTAGTATTTAACAAAAAATCAACATAATAATTCATAAAATTAATATAGTTATATATTTAATTCTTATTACTTAAAAAAAATCTCCCACTAAAACCCTGGTATACAGCCGTCGTCCCTTTGCTATTTATTTGTACTTTTTACTGCCAGAAACCTAATTTCGGACCCCAAGATCACAATCGAAAAAGAAAAGAGTCGCAACCGGCGATGGTGATGAAAATGAGACATCCATGGAGATTACTCTCTTCCGAAACTACCCTCGTCCTCCTCTCCAAGTTTCCCCCATGTCCCAGGTACTCACTCCTTGTGTTCTTCCTCCTAATCTCACTTCATCGTTTCAGAGTGTATCCTCTCGCTCTCTTTTTACTAGCCCCTTCAACACATTGAAAGGGTTATCCATTTTAAATTACAACACACTCACCAATCACTGTTGTTTCTCATCCGAGGCAGCTGTTGAACAAAAAGACCCAGATCATGTTTTGGTTAGTACTGTAACTGATATTTTTACTAGATTTAGTGATAGGGATGATATTAAGAGAGAATTAGAGCTAAATGGTGTTGTTTTCAGCCATGAAATGATTTGAAAGTGCTGAAGAATGTTGAGTCTACTCCTCATGTGACAAGGAAGATTTTTAATTGGGTTTTGGAGACTGATGGGGGGAGACTTAGCTCCAAATCGTATAATCGGATGTTAGGTGTTTTGGGTGTCAATGGATTGGTTGAGGAGTTTTGGGGTTTAGTCAATATTATGAAGAAGAATGGGTATGGAGTGTCTGGTGCCGTGCGTGACAGAGTTGCTTTGAAGTTTGAGAAAGAAGGGTTGGAGAGCGATTTGGAGAAATTGAGGAGGGTGTTTGCTTCTGGGTCGACGGACAATTCAATCGAAAAGGTTTGTTCTAGGGTGTGTAAAATTATTAAGAACCAATTGTGGGGTGATGATGTTGAGGAGCGGTTGCTCGATCTAAATGTTACATTTTCGAATGATTTGGTGAAAATGGTATTGGAGAATCTTGCTTCAGAGCCAGCAAAAGCTTTGATATTTTTCCGATGGATTGAGGAGCGAGGTTTGGTGAAACATGATGAGCGGAGTTATAATGCTATGGCGAGATCTCTGGGGAGGGAAGATTGTATTGATAGGTTCTGGAAGGTTGTTGATGAAATGAGGAGCTTTGGGTATGAAATGGAAATGGAGACTTATACAATGGTTTTTGATTACTTTTGTAAGAGGAAGATGATCAAAGAAGCCGTAGATTTGTACGAGTTCGCAATGGCTGGTTCCCATAAGCCTTCTGTGAGTTGTTCTACCTTTCTGCTGAAGAAACTAGTGGTGAGTAAACAATTAGACATGCATCTGTTTATAAGAGTTGTGAGGGCTTTTGTGGAGACTGGGAATGTCTTGACAGGTTCCATGGCTGATTCAATTACCAAATCTTTGACTAGTGTTGGTAGGCTTGGAGAATGCAACAAGGTTCTAAAAGTAACGGAGGAACACGGGTTTGTTGCCGGTGGTAATTTGCAATCTAAAATCACATTTAGCCTTGCTAGTGCTGGTAAAAAGGATGAGGCTGCTGAGTTTATTGATCGTGTTGAAGCATCAAATACCGATTTAGAACACAAGGCATGGGCATCTTTAATTGAAGGGTGTTGTGCCGCTGGGGATCTCGAAACAGCATCAACTTATTTCAAAAATATGGTTGAAAAAGAAGGAGTATCTCATGCTGGATATGCCTTCGAATGGTTAGTATATACATATTGCAGTAGAAAAAGAGCAATGGATGCTTGCAGGCTTCTACACAAGTTTGTTAGTGACTATCAGTTAAGGCCATGGCATGACACCTACAAGGAATTGATAAGGAAGTTATTAGCACAGGGTGGATTTAATGATGCTTTGAGTCTCTTGAGTTTGATGAAAAACAATGGTTTCCCTCCCTTTGTGGATCCCTTCATCGAGTATGTTTCGAGGTCTGGCAGTAGTGATGATGCTATCGCTTTCCTCAAGTCAATGACATCGAAAAAGTTTCCATCCATGTCAGTTGTTCTTCGTGTTTTCAAAGCGTTTCTTAAAGCCGCGAAGCAAAATGAAGCACAAGATTTGTTATCGAAATGCCCAAGTTATGTTCGCAACTACGCTGATGTTTTGAATCTCTTTTGTTCCATGAAACCAGATCAAGTTGTTGCTACACCGGGTATGGTTGCTTAAACTTCATTGGCTGTAGTTCTTGATGTACTATGGCATTTGTCACTAATTAAAATTTTGTTATCTTGGCTTTCAAGATGTATGGCTGCCTGGTTAATAAGAAAACAAAATTTCGAGGTCTTTATGATTTTTCCCTGTTAGTGCTTTTTGGATGTAAAATAGTATTAAAAGAGTTTTGCCATTCGATTAAGGTTTAACTTGATTCAACTTTAAATCTAATCAAAGTTCGTATAATTATGAACAATTTTAATTTAATTTAAAATATAATCAGAGTTCATATAATTATCAACACGAAGATTAATTATAATCGAAGTTCTGCATTAACGTCCCTGGAAAATAATAGGAAGTTAGTACTGCAATGTTCTACCATTCTAAAATTTTAATCACATTCCTTTTTTTTTCTTTAAATTCTGAGAGAGAATTTTTATATAATAACTATTTATTTTTTAATATAATATCTAAATTATTTGTAATTTTAAACTCTTAAATCAGAAATTATTGTGTATTTAAATACCATCAAACTTACAATATCTAAAATATTGTAATAACAATAGTATTAATGAAATTTTAATTTAATAAATATTATTTTCTAAAAAATAAAATACCAATATTGTTAATATATTAATTTTTAAAAAAAAGCACCCATGCGAAACTCTAGTAACCAAGCTAAACGGATGGCTAAGTCCAAATCCCTAATAACCAAAATTACAGATCATACCAAAGAAAGAAACAAAAACGACGGTACGCTATGAATTTGTATTCTTTCAATTTCACCCCTTGAATTTAATAAAGTTCAATTTCACCCCTTGAATTTTTAAAAGTTCAATTTTGCCCCTTGAATTTTAATTACCATCGCCCCGCCCGCCTTCTCTCTCTCCCCCCCCCAAAATAAAAATAAATTAAACCCTCAAAATTTGGTAGCCCAACAACGCGTTGGATTGACGCTCAGACACACACACATAAAATCCAGAAAGCTCCTTCTTCCTCATATAATTTAAACACTCATACGAATCTTCTTTGCCATCGCCATTGCATTTGTTCTTACTTTGTTGTTTCTGTTGTTCTATTTTGATAAATATCAAATGAGGGAAGGAGCAAAGAGAAATGCCGCCTCTAAGAAACAAGAGGATACGCAAGTGAAATCTTCGCAAGAGAATCAGAATGGGAACCATAAACCTGCTCCCAAAGCTAAGCGTGCTAAGACCTCCAAGCCTCAATCCGAGCCCGAGTACTTTGAAGATAAGCGTAACTTGGTATAATGTTTCTTTGCCTTGTTTTTATTATTTTCATTTATTGGGGTGAAGTTTTGAATTTGTTTTCATTTTTTTAATTGGATTTCCTTCAGGACTTTCTTTAATGACTTCACTGTTTAGGTTTATTCAATATCTGAACAAATGTGACGTTAAAAGTTTTATGTTATCCGTTGACTTTTCCAGATTTGAATTTTGAACTGTTAATTCTGGATTACACCCCGACTCCTTGTGTGAAGATTAAAGCTGAAATTGATGCAAATTTAGAGCTTAAAATAATTAACTATTTGAGATGATCAGTGAGGATATGTCTTGCTATACTTTTGTGTGTTTTCTAATGAAAAATGTCAATTTTCGTTTTGCAGGAGGATTTATGGAAAGAAGCATTTCCTGTTGGAACCGAGGTTGGAATTTTGAGTTTGGCTTTATTTATTTATTTATTTTTGGTTTGTCTTTTTTGATGAATTTAAGTTCTATTGATTACCATTTCGTTTTTCTTTTGTTGTGGCAGTGGGATCAGTTGGACACTGTTTACCAATACAACTGGAACTTTCAAATCTAGAAGTCAGTTTTTTTTTGGTTGCTTTCTCTGTTCTCATCTTCAGTTGCTTGCTTGCTTCTTTTGTTTTCCCCATTTAGAGCTAACGGGATTTTTTTTACTGTTCCGTTTCTGGTCAGGATGCATTTGAAGAGGGGGGGAGCTATATGGAAAGAAAGTTTATCTTTTTGGTTGCACAGAGCGTAAGTAGTTCATGGCTTTGGTCCTAGTATTTTGCACCTTTATATAGAAATTTTCATTCTCTTGGGGGGGTGGGGGACAGTTTTTTATGCCGTTTCTTGCATTGTTTATTATATTTTTATTTACTTTTAATTTTCTTAAAAAGAAAGAAAGCTTGTTCGCAGTTTCCTTAATTTTTGCTAAGTTCCACTAAGTTTCTTTTTTGAATACTGAAGTTTGATTTTCTTATGACTTGTCTATTTTATTCATCCATTACACTTCATTAATTTTATTCTTTTACCCTTTGTGAAGCTCAATTGGTCCCTTACAAGGGTGAAAACAAAGTCATTTGTATACCTGTGGTTGTGGCTGTAAGTTGTCTGGCATGGTTGTGAAGTGCTTTTAATGTTTTTCATGCTATGTCGGTTCAAGGGATGTTTCTTCTTTATCTCGTGATAAATGGACAAATTGATTGCAGCATCTTTTATGCTGAAGGCTTATTCAATAGTAACTTTATGTTGCTTTGAAGTTATTTATTCACTTTGCTCATCTTATTTAAACATTTTCCTTTGACGGAACAGTAGGGCTGTTTCTTTGAGGTGCAGCTTTCAAGCTTAGAATCTCCCTTCACCTCCATACACGTGGACATGATTTAGTTAGACATTAGGCTTTTGATGACCATCTCAAACTACATGTTATGGGATGGTTCATTTTCCATATGATTTATTTTTCTCATGTCTAGAATGTTGGGAGTTAAAACACTCCTTCAATTTAGTTTTCTTTTATCATTAATAAGCACAGGTTCCTGTTGTTTTAGCAGTGGTTTGTTATTTTCCATGACTGCAATGACATTATTATTTATGGTTTTATGAGGTTAATTTTCTTAAAGTAGTTGTTTCCACTACAATCTCGTTGTATTTTCTTGCTGAATAGTCTTTGGCTTTTGCTGGTTCTTTTCAGGTTGTCTCTCCTTTCCCACCTTCAGATAAGATTGGTATTAACTCGGTGCAGAGAGAAGCTGAAGAGATTGTTCCTATGAAACAAATGAAAATGGATTGGGTTCCACACATTCCACTTGAGAATATGTACAGAGTTTTGATATTTTTAAATCATATTTAAAGTTTATGTAAAGGAGTTATTTAATTTAATTCATCTATATGATTTCTAAGCTGCGAAGGTAATAAATACAAATGTTCTCTCTTTTTGTTCTTTTTACTTTTGATTTTGAATTGACCTAAGTCCAAACTTTGAGGTGATTGTACATTTTGATTCCTCTACAGAGACAGCCAAGTTGATAGACTGAAATCTCGGATATTAATCACTCAAAGAAGGTATAGTTGTGCACGCTAACACTTATAATCGTTTTTAACGATTTTTTTACCTTTTCTTTAGCATGAGATTGTCAACAAAAGAAAATCTATCATTAGAGTCTTTATTTCAACTATTTCAGTATGAGATTCTCAACTTGTGTCACTTGCTTTGCTTGGTTCTCCCTAAAGAAATTGCTATATTGAATCATTGATTTAGACTTGTATATTGTGTATTGGTCCCCAGGGAAAAAAGAAAAGAGGGGGTATGTTCAAGTATTGGGATGAGGTTTTATTTTTGCAAACAGTTCATCAAATGAAGTGCTGGTGATTGTTGAAAATAATAGTATAATAGAGCTTGTGGTCATCCATAGAGGCTTCAGCTTCAGCTCTTTCTTATCAATGCATATTTCTAATTTTTGGATCTGTGTAGATGTGTGGTTTCCTACTGAAATTTCATGGTATAATATGTCCACTCACATATGAGTAATGGTGATCATTTGATACTTATTTTTGGCTATGAATTTTGTGTTGCATAAATTGAAAAATTATTTTGAGCAAGCTTGCTTATGGGCGTACATTTCTTTATTTGGATCATATATATTCTCTCCCTGAATGTGGAGTATATGTGTATTCCTAATGCAAGCATGTATTTTGGTTAATTTTTTGTATTTGAAATTCCATCTGCAGGGTTGTTTTGACACAAATGAAAATAGATTGTCTCAAGAAGTATGAGTATTGTTTGCCTTGTAAGTTATCTAGATATCTTTGGATTTCATATTCTGTAAAATATGAAAAACCAATAAGAAAAAAGTGAGGAAAAAGAACCCATATTTATTACAATGTTGTTTGGCATGCCCCTATTGACAGATTTCTATCAGCCTTTGAAGGAAGCACTGAGGTTCAAATAATTTTTCCAGCAGAACCAAAGCCAGTAAGGTTTCTGTATTTTCTGAGTAATTTAATTATGACTAAAACTGGACACTTTGGATATCAATGGGTGGATGGAGTTGATTTTGGGGTTTTGAACTTGTCATGCTTTAATAAATGAACTGTTACCTTAACTGTAGTTGTAGCCTATATTTTAAGTCCCAAAGGCTCAAATAAAGGTGTTCCCATGAGTCAGTAAAAACCTAATTGCTAAAATGATTATTAGCACATAACATTTGCATGTGTACTTGTTGATTGTGTCTGTGATACTCCGATGGTTAAAACTTTGAGGTTCCAACCTTATGGAGGCTGAGGTTTCCACATGTACTGATGCATCTTTTATGCCTGGAAACTTCAGTATAGATGCGCTAATAAATGTTAGAAGTTAACTCTACACCTTTTCCCGATGCAAAGATCAAGCATCAGTAAGCATCATTACTCTAGTGCTTAAATCTCCTTCACTTGCAGACATTATCCTTATTAATCTTGAACTGTCCTGTCTCCATCAAATAAAAATATGTTACTTATTAAAGGGAAATAGTTGAAAACGAAAAGGGAGCTTATTTGAGCTGTGTCTTGCACCTTAATAATGTGCTGTGATTGGGAGGGGTCTGAGGTGCTTTTTCTAGACTTAGTTGTGCCTTAGTGTCTAGGGACTCCTTGATTAACTGCTTGTATTCATTTTCAAAATAGATAACCGAGGCAGCTATTCTGCAATGTGTTATGTAAATTGATGCATCCTTTCTGGTCCTGCAGGTATTTTGTGAATTTGATTGGGAGTTGGATGAACTTGATGTAAGCCTTTAACTTTTTATTTTTATGTTACAGTCTAATTTGCATGAGTTTTTTTTATGAAGTTGACTTGTGCTAACGGGTTGCTTGGAATTTTTTTCAATTTTAGTTCCTTCCCATAGACT